TTCAACCGCCACTATTATTCCTTTCTATTCGAAACAGAAATGAAAATTGCTGCTCATTAATGTTACTGAGCATACAATGCAGAATCATTGGAACACGTATATCACTGAAGAAGATTTCAGATTCATGTCAGAAAATGGATTGACCGCTGTTAGAATTCCGGTCGGTTGGTGGATAGCCCACGACCCCAATCCCCCAAAACCTTTCGTCGGAGGATCTCTAGCAGCGTTGGACAATGCTTTCACTTGGGCTCAGTAAGTTCTTAGATTCACTTTCAACTGTTCAATTGTCATAAAAAAAAAAAAAAAGTCGCTTAAATGTTAATTTACTGTCGCATGTTGCAGAAACCATGGGCTGAAAGTGATAGTGGACCTTCATGCAGTTTCAGGTTCACAAAATGGGAACGAGCACAGCGGAACAAGAGACGGATATACTGAATGGGGAGATTCATACATACCAGACACAGTCGCAGTTATTGACTTCTTAGCAGAAAGGTTTGAACTTTGAGTTCTTGTGCTGTTTTCTAGTCTTCATTACGTACGAAACACGATGATCTACTTCCTATTTTAAGGTAGCGACGAGATGAAAGTTGACTTTGGCGTGGCAGATACGGGAACAAACCTAGTCTAGGGGGAATCGAACTGATGAATGAGCCAACATTAGGGCCAGATCTTGACAACCTCAAGAATTACTACCAGCAAGCTTATGATGCGGTGAGGAAACACTCTGAAATGGCCTATGTCATCATGTCAAACCCATTGGATCATAGCTCCACCGAACTTCTCTCATTTTTTGGGAGCTTCAATCGAGTAGTGGTTGACGTGCATTATTACAATCTGTATTCAGATCAGTTCAAAATCATGAACGTGCAACAAAACATCGATTATATAAATAACCAGAGAGCGTCAGATCTCAGTAGCGTAACCACCAAAAATGGTCCTCTCAGTTTCATAGGTAAGTAACAAGATTATACAAGAAGACATGATAGATCCCTTCATTAAATTCTCCTTCTGTGCATGCCTGAATCTTTATTTATAACTAAACATGAAACTTCAAACAAATATGCTATTTATTCATTGATGGGGTTATGGTAATGATATATGACAGGGGAGTGGACCGCAGAGTGGAACGTCAAGGGAGCGTCAAAGGAGGATTACCAGAGATTTGCAAAAGCCCAATTGGAAGTGTATTCTCGGGCCACTTTTGGATGGGCCTATTGGGCCTACAAATGCCAATATAACCATTGGAGCCTCAGGTGGATGGTTGAGAATGGCTATATAAACCTCTCATTTAGTATTTAGAGGTAATGATAAGATAATGCCTTTGCATTCCTATCAAATTTCGTATTCAGTAATCATCCATCGTTTGACAACATTTATGAAGTACTACTAGAAAATAAAGAATACGAATTCTTGGACTTGGATTCTATCCATTATTAGCTATGTTCTAGTTATTTATTTGTTTAATATTTCTTGTTTTCTAAAGTTAATTTCATATTATTACCTCCAGTCCGAAATATAAGACTTAGTTTACAATGTAATTTTTATTATAAACTAGACTCTACATTTAGAAACAAAGATACTATAATTTTATTTTGATATTGTTACTCAAAATTAATTCCTTTTCGTCTTTACAGAAAGAAGTAGTTCTATTGATGAAATAGATTAAAAGGGAATCGAATATAAATTCATAAAACAAAATGAATATCACATATAATTTAAATAGAATAGAAATACGTTGCCGGAAAAAAAAAAGAAATAAATTTAAGCTACCACTTGTTGAATGAAATGCGTAATAAATGCAAATCATGAGAAAAAATTATTTAGAAAAATAAAATGAAATTGATTAAAAATAAAAAATAATTAATGAGCAACATACATGTACATAAACATATCAACTCTAAGTTCGAACATAAACCTTATATAAACATAACAAATGACACTGTTGCTAAGACAATTTGCTGTTCATAATAAGTGGCATATGGATGGCCACTTGAATAAAATGAATAAGAGTATGAAATGGAATTGATTTTAGGGGAATCCGGTGAACAAGTCCCATTTCCACACTATTGCCAATATATAATATAATATATTTAGTTTATATATTTAACATCACAAATCATAATTTACATTAATTATCTCAACATGCTGGAGCTTTAATTAATTATTCCCGCTGCATGGAAGGTTCTTTAAAACATGTGAATTGTCTTATCGAATTTACAGGTGCTAGTTCAGCTCAAAAAAAAAAAAAAAATTAACGAGTGTTAGTAAATGATTAACAAATATTACTCTAATACTACCTTCGGTCTTTAATATAAGACCTTGTTTGACTTTTATTTTGATTCTAAATATAAGATCCCAATCCATTTTATCTCTAATATTTATGTATTTTTTTTTCAAGATAGTCCTTTTATAATAGTAGTTCTAATCAATATACTTGATTAGCAATGATATTTTAAGAAAGACAACACCTATTTATGACAAATAACTAATTTAATTTTTTTCCTTAATTTTCTCAAATTAGTCAATTAACTCTTATAATTAGGACCGGAAGTCGCTAGTGTGAACGTTCATGTGTTGAATGGACAAGAAAAGAGCCACTTGCATAGTGGGAGGGGGTCGGCCCCAAGATTTTTGTTTTGTTTTTTAACCAAAATTTTTTAATAACATTCAACATTGGCAGGCCAATATATAATATTCCCTTTTTAAAAAATAAAGTCTTAATTTTTTTGGGCAAATTTTGGTCTTGCTTTAATTATCTACTTACCCTCGCAGAACTCTTACTCAGGTTTTTATGGAAATGAGCATTGGATTGGCATAAACTCTTGTTGCTGCACAATGGCTGTGAATTTACTCATCCCTTTAAGAGATGAGGTTGACGATGAAGCTAAATTACTTATTTCTAGAGATTGATAATTTCCAATGTACTCAGAACTGGCAACTTTCTGGCAGATTGACTTGCCAATTATTACTCTCATAGGCTATCTATGCTCCTCTTGTCTTATTATTTATAAATTACTTCTAATATATTTCACACAGATTAAGAAAAATTTTAAATTTTATTAGTTTTCATTTAAAATTCAACAACTTGTTAACCTTAGTCTTATTTAATACTCCTACAGTCCTTAATATAAGACCCATTTAACTAATTTGATTAGATTAAGGAAGTTAGGTAAATTAGTTAATTATACGAAAAGTGACACATTTTTCCTAAAACACCATAATCATCTTTCTTAATTCCCTCTCTCCCTCTTCTACTTGATTATGGTTGGGGGAGTATCCATAGGGGTAATTTAGAGAAAATTGATAAATATGAGAAATGGGTCTTATATTTAGGACTAAAACCAACTCAAGAATTAGGTCCTATATTAAGGACCGGAGGAGTATATATTATACCTTACGCAAATAAAGTCAATACAATAACAAATAGATGGTAAAATTATATATCTATATAAAAAATTTCTCTCAGTATCCTATAAATAGGATCAAAAAATATATTTTCTCTCTGCTTTATACAGGACCACAGGAGTATTAAGCAATTTCCATCTTCAGATCCAAGAGTTGAAACTTGGTAGATGATGAAGAATCTGGTCTAGTAAGGTATTGTTTTGCTTGAACCCGGCCTCTTACGATTAAATAGTATTCACTACTTTCACTAAGAAGAAAAAACATGTAATCTTCTTTAATGCTTTTCTATATGTAGATATATTTTTAGGCCGTATTTGTACGATATATTTTATTAATATCTGAGATGTTAAACAACCTTTTTTTTCATTTTTACCTCCATTATATAACACTGCATTAGTTATTTTCTTTTTTCTATTTCTCTCCCTCAGCCACTTTCTCTTTATACATAAAAGTATTTTTGAAAAAATAAAAATATATATATTTTGCACATTTATTGATTCCAACCACTTTTTTAATTTATACAATTCAATTATTTGTATCTTATAAATAAAATTGGGGGAGTAATACATTATACACACCAAATTTGAATGTAGAAGTTAAAAATTCGTTTTGGCCCTAAATATAATCTTTCAATTTCAGTTTTTTATGTCCTCATTGGTATTAATAATATTTTCTGCACAGAATTTAAACATACAATATTTATGATATTTTAATGAACATGATTTAATAATACTCAGATTTTTTGGTAAAAAATACTTATAATATATTACTACTATATATTAATAAATTTTTTCATTTTAAATAAATATTTTTTGCTTATTTTCTTTAATTTCATAATTTCAATTTTCAAGTATGATGGTGGCCAATGAAATTTTCGTCTTATGATCCCCATCTTTTTTTTTTTTTGGCTAGGATTGTTGCATTTCATTACTCAAGTAGCTCCAACATTCTCGCAATTCGTGAATCACATCAATGTTGTCTCATACAAGAAGAATTTGCTTAATAATCTTTTTGGTTGTTCTGATATCAGCAACATCTTAGCAAGGGATGTTAATACGTACTTCAATCCTTTTCTTTTTTTTAGTTATTCTTTTTATTTTTTTGGCCAAAATTAGTTATTCTTTTTATAAAACTGATGTTTTATTGATCCCCATCCCCTGAACTCAGTAATGCGGATCGTATAATTGATCGCATAAATTTTTTTATTTTATATAATTGATCTTTTTATTAAAAGGAAAAAAGTATGATGGTGGCCAATTTCAAATGACCAAATTGTCAGCAATTTGATCAGTACAGTTGTCAATAGCCCATAGTTTCCTTCCTTCAACACGGCCCATAGTCAACCCGGAACACAAGAAACTAAACCCATTTTTCTTTAAAGAAAAAAATGGAGTAATTAATATAATAATTAAAATACATAATTTAATAACTTGTTGGCCAAAACAAAACAAAAAACAAAAGGAAAATTAAGTCACAATTCTCCACGTTTCAAGATTGGCATGCTTGAACAGAGTAATATAAGTAAACAGATTGGACAAGAATGATACTTTATAAAGATGTAATTTTTCCATACTACCACCACCGCCTGCAAAATCTACACACACACGCACACCATCTCTTCGCAGACTTCACAAAATACTTTGAAAAATGGGAAATCTGCCATACAAAGCTGTGAATCTGGGAAATTGGCTCGTCACAGAAGGCTGGATGGAACCATCTCTCTTTGATGGAATAGTCAACAAAGATCTCTTGGTACTTCCATATCCATTTCTTCACGATTATCTTTTCATTTATGCTTTATCAATATACTCCTCCGGTCCTTATTATAAGACCCAATTTGACTTTTTATTTGGTCCTAATTATAAGACCCAATCCATTTTCTCTTTTATATTTATGCATTTTTTTCCAAGATAATCCTTCTAATAATGATAGTTTTAGCCATATACTTAATTAGCAGAATATTTTAGGAATAACAACACTTATTTATTATATATAACCAACTTAACTTACTTCCTTAATCTCTTCAAATAAGTCAATTGGGTCTTATAATTAGGACCGGAGGAGTATATATATATATATATATTCATCGTGGTTCTTTATATTTTTGGCCATTCCCAGGATGGAACTCAAGTGCAATTCAAGTCCACCAAGTTACAGAAGTTTCTGGTGGCTGAAAATGGAGGAGGAACTGATGTTTTCGCCAACCGCGATGCAGCTTCTGGTTGGGAAACTTTCAAGGTTTGTAGTATTCCTAGAAACTCTCGCATGAAATTAAAGGCTTTGGGGAGATTCCTTCATTTTATGATCTGACATGTACAATCGACGTACGATGTAGTTATGGAGGGTCAGCGATTCCTCCTTCAATTTCAGGGTGTTTAACAAGCAATTCATTCGTTTAGACGGTACGAACAAACTAGTCGCAACTTCTAACTCACCCAGCAACCCAGAAACGTTTCAGATTATAAGGAACAGTGACGACCCATCCAAAATTCGTATCCAAGCATCAAACGGTCTGTTCCTACAGGTATTATTGATCCTTTGTTATAATCCAACCCCGGCCGCACATTATATGCGACATGTGGATCGCTCGTTATCATTCTGGGAATTATATGTTTGTTTGATTTCGTTATTTAGGCTCAATCGGAGACAGTGGTGAGTGCTGATTTTCAAGGGTCAACCAACTGGGAAGATGGTGACCCATCTGTATTCCATATGACAATTGTGAAAGGTTCGACATTACAAGGTGAGTATCAGATTACTAATGGCTATGGCCCTCTGAGAGCTCCTCAAGTCATGCAGGATCATTGGAATACGTATATCACTGAAGAAGATTTCAGATTCATGTCGGAAAACGGGTTGACAGCTGTTAGAATTCCGGTTGGTTGGTGGATAGCCCACGATCCCAATCCTCCTAAACCTTTCGTCGGAGGATCTCTGGCAGCACTGGACAATGCTTTCACTTGGGCCCAGTAAGTGTGTTTATCCATTTTCAAGCTCTCCATTCTCAGAAACCAATCAATTACATGTTACGTCACCATCAAATGTTGCAGAAACCATGGGATGAAAGTGATAGTGGACCTTCATGCAGTTCAAGGTTCGCAAAATGGGAATGAACACAGCGGAACAAGAGACGGATATATTGAATGGGGAGAATCATACATCCCAGACACCGTCGCAGTAATTGAATTCTTAGCAAAAAGGTTTGAACTTTGAATTTTTGGGACGTTTTCTGGTCTTCATCATTACGATCTACTTGCTATTTTAAGGTGGTAACGTGATGAAAGTTGAGTTTGGTGTGGCAGATATGGGAACCATCCTAGTCTAGGAGGAATCGAACTGATGAACGAGCCGACATTAGGGCCGAATCTGGATAGCCTGAGGAAGTATTACCAGCAAGCTTATGATGCAGTGAGGAAATACTCTGAAACAGCTTATGTGATCTTGGCAAATCCAATGGATCATGATTCAAAAGCACTTCTCTCATTTGCTGGGAGATTCAATCGAGTAGTGATCGATGTTCATTACTACAATCTGTTTTCGGATCAGTTCAATAACATGAACGTGCAACAACACATCGATTTCATATATAACCAGAGAGCTTCAGATCTTAGCAGCATCAGAACCATCGATGGTCCTCTTAATTTTGTAGGTGAGCAACAAGATTACATTATATTACTAGCTCCTGTTTAATATAAAAGCTTGTTTGATTTTTATTTTGAACTTAAATATAAGATCTCAATTTACTTTGTCTCTTATATTTATTCTTTTTTTTTTCAATGTAATTCTTGTAATAATAGTAGTTTTAGCTAATACACTTGATTAGTAAGGATAGTTTAGGAAAGACAACACCTATTTATTACAAATAACTAACTTAACTAATTTTCTTAATCTATTCAAATTAGTTAAGTAGCTCTTATGTTAAAAACCTGAGCTAGTATATGCTAGATTTTTTTTTTTTTTGGACTCAGTATATGCTAGATTATTCCTCTTTGAATTTACCCATTGTTATAAAAATTCTAACAGGTCATATTATATTTATTCATATCGCACTGTGGATATTCATTAGTATATGGTGGTGATATGACAGGGGAGTGGACGGCGGCGTTGAGCTTACAGGGAGCAACGAAGGAAGATTACCAGAGATTTGCAAAAGCCCAATTGGATGTGTACTCTTCGGCGTCTTTTGGATGGGCCTATTGGGCCTACAAATGTCAATATGACCATTGGAGCCTGAAGAAAATGATTGAGAATGGTTATATAAAGCTTAAGCAATAGCACCAAGCATGTCCTGATCCTTATAAATTTTCAGAGACCGAAACTCACCTAAATTTTATGTATTGGAGGCAAAAAAAAAAAAAAAAGAGTAGCAGATTATGGCTTCGGCTTCCTTTCAAACTCTGTATTCATCAATATCCGTTGATAAAGTTATAAATAAAGAATACCAACTCTTAGACTCGGATGCTCGCGATAGTTATAAATAATAATAATAATAAAAGCTAAAGTATATATTTAGTCCTTAAATTTTATACAAAATTTCAATTTGATTTTTTAACTTTAAAAAGTATATTTTTAGTTCTTTAACTTAAAAATTATTAGTCTTAAATGATGATTTTTTTATAACAATTATGAATGTTCTGAAAATTAAACTTAATATGGTAGCATTTAAAAATATTTCATTAACATTCAAGATCTTAATTTATCATTTTTTTGTTAATAGTTTTAAGTTTAAAGGACTAAAAATATACTTTTTAAAGTTAAGAAATCAAATTGAAACCTTATGTAAATTTAAAGGACTAAAAGTATACTTTAGTCATAAAGAAAATCCTTCAATATTTTTTATAAGATATTTTTAACTAAGCTACACAAGTTATTAAAATAGTTATGATTAGTTAAAAGTAATAAATATGTAAATATTGAAAAAAAATTTCAAGTATGTCTATCAAATAAATAGAGAAATAGTAGTAATGAAATAAAAGATGAAGGGAAATATCGTGTAAGAAAGAGATGAGGAGGGAGAATAGAAAATTAATTATGAGCAAAATTGGTAAAAACTTATTTAATGTCCAGACACCTATAAGCATAATGTTATAAAGAGGACCAAACCAATTCAAATTATGGGATTTAATTTAGAAGATTTATATTTACTATAAAAATTTAAAATGCTGGGAATTAAATAAATTGATTTGCATTGTTAAATTAAATCTGAATTGTTTAAAATAACAAGGAGAAATAATGGGAAAAAGGTCTGCAATGGAGAGGCTTCATGGTTCCCAGTGTAGGCCGCCTTGGCCCAGAAAATAGGTTAGGCTGAATTTAATTCCCAATAGCAATGGCGTCCTGGTTTACATCATTAAATAATTTTCAACAACCAATAAAAATTAGGTCCAGTAGAAAGGATTAATCTCTTATAAAGTGACGAACTAATATTTGAATTCCTGCTAGGAGAGGTGGTCATACTATCTTGAATAAAATTGTTTCCAATAAAAAGATATGTATGCGTAGCCAACAAAAAATAATTTTCAACAAATAATTTGAAAAAATATATGTATATATAACACTCCAATATATACTACTTATTACAAACTATTAGGAAAAGTACAATAAATGTTATATAATTGTAATTATTTCTACTATTTTTTTTACTAATTTTATATGATAATTATTATATTTTATTATTTATGTTAATTAAGTAGGAATGACTTTTGTTAAACATTCGAAAATGATTTTTTATTGATTTTTTTTTCATTATTCCTAATTGGTAGAGTGGAGGCCAATTTCTAGAGTCAGGTCGGTCTTAATTGGATTAACGTTCACAGAAATTGACTGTTATCCGAATTATATTTATAAATTAAAATTGAGACTTAAATAATGTAATATGATTTATGTTTAGATGTGTTTTGATAAAATAAAATAAAATTGAAACTAAAAAAAATGTATTATTAAAAAATTTGTAAATACTTAAACAAACACTTAATTCGTTTTGCCAGCTAAAAAGATGTATTCAATGAATAAAAACATAAATGTTATAAACATGAATAAATATATAAATATATGCAAATTTAAAATTCAAAAATAATATTAAAGACTTAAAAATTACAAAAAGTATATGTCAAATCTTGATTCTTTGATGTAACCAATCTTTTGGTTAATGGACTTCGGTTTACATTATTAAAAATATATTTTTACTGAAGAAAAGCTCATTTGAAGGGAAAAAATGATTTCTGAAGCTCCAAAATTTGGCTTCCTACTTAACTGATTGTTTGGAGAACTACAAATACTAAACCAAACATGATTTTGAGTACCTAACCTAACTTTTGGGGCATTAAAAGCTTTGGCAAACAATTAATAAGTTGTTATTGAGATGATAAACAGTCTCACCCTTTATAAAGAGAATAATATAAGTTTGAATATCAAAAAACGTACTTATTAAAAAGACTTTAATCTTAATACTTTCATTCTGACAGAAATTAGTCTCAAATCCAAAGTGACTAAAGATATTTTAAGTTGTAAAAAAAAAAAAAAAGAGTTAACCGGGTTTGGGTCTAGCGGAAAGGGCTAATCCCTCATAATCTGGTAAACTAATGTTCAAATTCCTGCTGAAAAAAATACCTACATTTAGTACCCGACAATATCTCAATTAGGATTGCCTATTTATGCTTTAGAAAAAAGCCAAAAAAAAAAAAAGCCCCGGGCAATCATGCTAAAAGGGTTTTTATACAAAAACATTTGTCATCATACTAGTGCTGTTATATTTTGTAAAAATTGACTTGTATAAATAGACAAATAGTTAAACACAATTTTTGTTTGAAAAGAAACTTACTTGGACGCAGGTTTTGATAATATCTTTTCTTGTTGGTAGAATCAAAGTTTATGTAAATCAGATTTCAAAAGGCTCGCAAAACAAAAAATGCTTATAAAAGTGTTTAGGAATTTCCTGTGAAAAATGTCTTTATATCAAGAGCATAATTCAAATTTATAATTTCATGAAACCTCTATAATTCAAGTTGTAGAAATATAAAATCTTTATGTTTAGGGAAAACTGAGGTTAAAAATCTATTGGCAATCATATTCAAAAAAAGAAAGGAGCAAAAATCCACAGTTCATCTTCTATGTTCTGAGTTTTTTGTTCTGTCATTTAAATTTTTTTCCCCATGTTGTGCAATTCAGATCCCTTTTTTTTAAAAGAAAAAGAAAGAAAATATGTTTGCCAATAAGTTTTAAATCCCAAATTTTCTCGGCAATCAGCATATTCAAATATAGGGGTGACCACCCAGGCTCCTCCTCGACTGGTCCCTCTCCCACGAAGGCCCTTGCCCGGTAGTGGCTGCCCCACTTTCTTTTACTAGGTTTGGTACGGCAGAATTGAAAATTCCAAAAAAAAATTTAATGAGCTCAGTTTTTAACTTCCCACTTTTCTAATTTTTTAAACTAAATTTATTAAAAAAATTTCTTCTCTCCCCTTCCTTTCATCTCTTACAAACCAAACAGACCCTTAAGATACCCACTCGCCACCCCAAAATAAGAAAACAAAAAAAAAAACTTCTTAAGAATTAAATTGAATTAAATCTTAAACATATTTATGAATTTTAGCTATATATCTTTTTGGAAAAGCATCTTAAAAAGACACTTTAGGTCAGATGACCTAAAGATGAATTTTAAAATTTTATAAAATATCTCTAATACTCTTTTAATTAGAAAACAAAAGGGAATTCTAAGTTAACATGTTCTATTTCGTAAATAACACGTTTCAATTCTAAATTAACAACTTCAAGTTTTTATAACACACTTACAATAAGCTTTTGAATAAAACTTGATTACAATACAATCTTAAAAATTAATAAATTCAATTACATAACTAACAAGTTTCAATTCTAAATTAATAGCTTTATGTCTCCAAAATACACTTACTTTGAATAAAATTTGATCATAGTACAACATCGAAAACTAAGATGTTTCATTTTAAAGTTAATACGTTTCAATTTTAAATTTGTAACTTCCCGTCTCCATAACATTTGTAATAAGTCTTTAAATAAAACTTGATCACAATACAACCTTAAAAAGTCACATGTTTCATTTTATTTTAATTCTAAATTAACAACTTTCTCTCTCCATAATACACAATAAGTCTCTGAATAAAATTTTACCACAATATAACTTTGAAAATTAATATATTCCGTTTTGCAATTAATATATTTTAATTCTAAATTAATAACTTTCTATCTCTGCAACACACTTGCAGGATTAAGGGAGTAATATTTAATTAAAAAAAATAATTCATTGTTGCCCTCTCAGTTGATTTTTTGACTTTACAATGTAGATGCCAAGTTTTTCTATGTAGGAGCTCTTATTCAAGATGGGAAAGATAGAAAATCATCATCTCTCTAGGTTTCTAATAAAAAAAGGTATTATAGTCATTTCATAAAATTTTAAGATCCCTTTTTGGGTCATATGACCTGATTAAAGTTTTAATAAATTCAATAACCTAAAAAAAGATTTGGATTATTTAAGTATCTTTTTGAAGGAATTTTCTTTTTTTTTTGCAGAGAATTTTAACTATATATTTTATTTCATGTGAAATGATTATTTATTTTTAATGAAAAAGTCTAGAACGCTTGTATATCAAATAATCAACATAACAGAAATAGAAATGGACAATTTAAGTAATTTATTAACATAAAAATATTGTCACAATGTCCACTTATTAGAAGGCCAAAAAAAACCTAAACTTATAAAATTGAAAGTTAGACCGTGTAAATAGATAAAATTAATGATGAAACCCTTTGTATATATTCATTTCATTCTCAGTGTAAAAGCTATTTAATTTGAATAGATTTAAAACACTAACTGAATTATTTAATTTTAATTAATGTAATATAAGCTCTCTAAAATATTACTATGTAACATTAAATTTTATATGAGTTTGTAAATTAAATAAATTAGTTTTAAAAAAAAGGATAAATATGAGAAAAAAATAGATGATTAAGGCCTTGCTACATGTAATACCAAAACCAACCTGTAAATAAAGGAAAATAATTGGTGGGAAGTGAGCGAATAAATAATAATAATAATAATAATAATAAGAGGAAGAATTATGATGAGTTCCACACAAAAAAAGTTAATTATCAAAAAATTTTAATGACAAATGATTAGTCCAAGCCTATTATCATTCTCTACTCTAAAATTTGTTGTTGTCTGCTTTTGAGTTGTCAATCTATTTTAGATCAATTAAATCCCTACTTTGAGACCTAATTGTAATTTTTCCGTAATAAAACTCCTCCCAGTCTCATGGGAGCCCAGCCTCGGAAAGCTAGAAAATTTGTACTAGTTTCATCCCTATATAAATATGCACACCTGTCGCAGTATTTCGCAGACATTCACCAAGGCTTTCAAAATGGCACGCCAAAGTATCCTATTTTTCTTACTCTTCTGTTCTTGTTCCTCTCTCGCTATTGCACAAGATCCGCCTTACAAAGCCGTCAATCTGGGGAATTGGCTCGTCACAGAGGGCTGGATGGAACCATCTCTCTTTGATGGAATAGTCAACAAAGATCTCTTGGTTCTTCCTCATCCATTTCTTTTCACCATTTATGCTTTCTGAAATATATATGTTTCTTCATGATTCTTGATATTTTGGTCCTTCCCAGGATGGAACTCAAGTGCAATTGAAGTCGACCAGGTTACAGAAGTTCCTGGTTGCTGAAAATGGAGGAGGGGCTGATGTTTTAGCCAACCGTGATTCTGCTGCTGGTTGGGAAACTTTCGTGGCATGTATCTGTCTTTATCAATGTTCTTCATGAGCGACACTTTAATTAAAACCAAAAAGCATTTCCAGATTTGCTTCTCTAGTAATCTGAAATGAATAATACATTATTGATGCAGTTGTGGAGGGTGAATGACTCCTCCTTCAATTTCAGAGTGTTCAACAAGCAGTTCATCGGTTTGGATGGTGCAAACAAGCTAGTCGCAACTTCTAACTCACCCAGCAACCCAGAAACGTTTCAGATTACAAGAAAAAGTGACGAACCATCCAAAATTCGTATCCAAGCATCAAACGGTCTGTTCCTACAGGTATTATTGATCCTCTGTTGTTATTCAAACCCCGACATTACATGCGACATGGATCATTCTGGGAATTATGTTTATTTGATACATTGGCTTTATGAATCATCAGGCTCAATCGGAGACACTAGTGAGTGCTGATTATGGAGCGTCCACAAGTTGGCAAGATAATGACCCATCCGTGTTTAATATGACAATTGTGAAGACATTACAAGGAGAGTACCAAATTACTAATGGCTATGGCCCTCTTAGAGCTCCTCAAGTCATGCAGGTCTCATGCATCCTTCTTTTATACCACCTCTAATATGGGAAATAAACAATTAAATACGAAAGACAAGTACATTATATTTAGAACCAAGCTAAAACTTTTAAATAGATGTTATATACTATCTTCAGTTCTTAATATAAAAGCTAGATAACTAGTTGACTAATTTCAGTAGATTAAAGAAACTAGTTAAGTTAGTTATTTCTAATAAATAAGTGTTGTACTTCCTAAAATATCATTACTAATCAAATATATTGGTTAGAACTACTATTATTACGAAAATTATATTGAGAAATAATAGATAAATATAAGAGACAAAGTGGATTGGGGTCTTATATTTAGAACCAAAATAAAAACTAAACTAGTTCCTATATTAAGAAATGGAGGAAGAATTTAGGATCAAGGACTACCAGTTATATTACTGATGATCATGCAATGCAGGATCACTGGAACACATATATCACTGAAGAAGATTTCAAATTCATGTCACAAAATGGGTTGACCGCCGTTAGGATTCCAGTTGGTTGGTGGATAGCCTACGACCCCAACCCTCCAAAGCCTTTTGTCGGAGGATCTCTAGCAGCTTTAGACAATGCTTTCACTTGGGCTCAGTAAGTTTGCAGATTCACTTTCAACTGTTCAATTCTCATCAGAAAGTCAATTAATTAAATGTCAATTTACTGTAACTTCTCAACATATATTTGCAGAAACCATGGGATGAAAGTGATAGTGGACCTTCATGCGGTTCAAGGTTCACAGAACGGGAACGATCACAGTGGAACCAGAGACGGATATATTGAATGGGGAGAATCATACATACCAGAAACAGTCGCAGTTATTGAATTCTTAGCAAAAAGGTTTGATCTTTGAATTCTGGGACGTTTTCTAGTCTTCGATCGTTACGTATGAAACACGATCTATACTCGCCATTTTAAGGATGCAATGTGATGATAATTGACTTTGATGTGGCAGATATGGGAACAAACCTAGTCTAGGAGGAATCGAGCTAATGAATGAGCCAACATTAGGGTCGAATTTGGATACCTTGAAGAAGTATTACCAGCAAGCTTATGATGCAGTGAGGAAATACTCTGAAACGACTTATGTCATATTGGGAAATCCAGTGGATCATGACTCAAAAGCACTTCTCTCATTTGCTGGGGGATTCAATCGAGTAGTGGTTGATGTTCATTACTACAATCTGTATTCGGATCAGTTCATAAACACGACCGCGCAACAGAACATTGACTATATATATAACCAAAGAGCTTCAGATCTCAGCGGCATCACCACTACCAATGGTTCTCTCAGTTTCGTGGGTGAGAAACAATATTATATTATATGATAGCATGTCTTTTTGTAAATTCGTCTCTTATCCTATATAAAATGATACTCCTCCTGAGGAGCTAATTAGGGAGTTAATACTGGTTTTATGTATAAGACATATTTCATGTGTTTATTAATTTTTTTTCTCAAATTAACCATATTAATATTTCTCTAACAATAATCAAGTAGGAGATAGAGGAAGACAATTAAGAAAGATACTTAGAGTAATTAGAAAAAACATATCATATTAATTAATTTAACTCATATTTTTAATTTACTCAAATTAATTAATTAGCTAATGTATTATTAATGAATTATAGATAATGTGGTTCATATATATAACAGGGGAGTGGACTGCAGCATGGGCTGTGCAGGGAGCGTCAAAGGAGGATTACCAGAGATTTGCAAAAGCCCAATTGGATGTGTATTCTCAGGCCAGTTATGGATGGGCCTATTGGGCCTACAAATGCCAATATGAGCCTTGGAGCCTCAAGTGGATGATTGAGAATGGCTATATAAACCTCTAATTTAGTATGTGCTTATTTTGGGGAGAATAAATGTTATGCAGTGAATAAAGAGGATTTGGATGCTATCCCAATATTATACATAAAATTATAAATCTTTAACTTGTGTTTTATTTTGGTTAAGTAAATTATGTTCATCTCTTTTGAATTTAATTTTATTAAGCTGTGTTTAACATCTTTTGTCGTAAAAATTAAATTTGGCTTTCTTAAGGTTTGATGTGATATTATAATTTTATTTCTAATATTATTACCTAACTAACTAATTATCTTTTTTTCCTCAAAAAATTAGTTTTTATTAATGAAATGAATTAAAATTAATGGGGAATCAACTGTAAGTTTACATTTGTTGATGAGATCTTTAAAATATGAAATAGAATACAGAATAAAAATACTTTTCAAAAGATTGATCTCATAGTCTTTTAATAAAAAAAATAATGACGAGATTATTCAAACATAAGAGACGGAGTTTGTTGTTCTGGCAAGACAACACATGTACAAAGAAAAAGTTGTAACAAAATAAAGAAAAAGTTATTAACACAAATTAATTTGTACCTGTCGACAAAATTTTAAATCAATCTAACGATTAACAAATTTGTTTATGCCAATTTGTCGAGACTACCATAAAACGATGTGAAAATGACTTTTTCTCCTCTCTCTCTCTCTAAGTGGCTGCTCTCCTTCCTTCAATAAAGCTTCTCATTCCCTGACCTTAATTTTTCATCTCTCCACTCTAACAGGCGAGACTCAAATGGGTTTTAAATATTGGGCTTTTTTTCCCCCACAGAAAGGGAGCCTAAACCCAAAGACAAGAGGCCAATACAATATTAAAGAAGCATGTTGGATTGGGACAAACTCCAAAAGAAAAACATAAAGAAACATGGAACTAGCATAGACAACAAAATCTAAAACAACATCTAGCGACTCCCAATCTGCCAGAAAGATTTGAGGTACACTATAACATACTATTTTTTTTTCTATAAAAAATTGTAATTAAAAATATATAATAATATATTATTATAAAAAAAATAAAAAAATAAAATAAAAAAATATTCGGTGGAAAAGATGGGGGAGGGGGAGTGGTTGCATTAACGAGGAAAGAATTTTGGAAGAAGATTTAATGAAGAACAAAGAAAAACATGAGGTAAGGTTGAAAAGCAATGGAAGGGTATTAAATGAAGAAGGAAAAGGGAGGAAGAAGCGGATGGAAGTGGAAAAAATTAGAAGGGAGCGATGAAGGGATATAAATGAGAGGGGGTGTTAAACGTCCTCACCAGTTATATTTTCAAGCCAGAAGAAAAGAGATCGAGAGAGAGAGAGAGAGTGAAAGACAAGAGAAAGAGAGAGAGAGAGAGAGAGAAGAGAAGAAGAGAGCAAGAAGTTGAGCTGCAATACGTGATCAGAAAGTCGGGACAAGTTTTGGGGATCATTTAGGTACACAAATATACTTCTCTTTATCAAATTTTTTTTATGAATATTTCCTATATATTTATAGCTTTATATTATTATTATCATTATAATGTTTAGAGAAAATTTTACTGTTTGGGTATAGAGTAAATATGGAGTTTTGACAATATATGACCATAGAAATTTAAAGATACATTATTAAGGAATTTTAATCAGTTTATTTTTATTGAATGATTATTTTGAGAATTTTAAACTAAGATTTTAGTTGAAAAGTTTGTTATTTAGACTTGTAATATGTTTTTACCGATTAAATTTGAGTTAAATAATTTATTTGAGTTATTTAATATATTATTGAGGTTTTAACGGTTTAAATATTGAATAAATTAAATATATATTTTTGAAATAATTTTTGAAGGCTTGAATAATTATAAATTGAGAATTTTGTGAAATTAGATAAAGCTATAGTTTATTTATAATTTAAAAAGAAGTTGTTTGGTTTGTGGAAAAATTTTAAATGAGATTATAATAAATAATTGAGAATTTTAATATAAAATATTTAGATTTTGGGTAATAAAAATATATATGTATATATAGTTAAATTTAAATAGCCTTATATGTAAATTATTTTTCAAAATAATATTTATTATAAATGCCTAGATTTGGGAGAGTTAATATATTTATGTAATTTTGGTTTAGAGGGTAGTCTTAGAATTTTAGAGTAGCTTTGGAGTAGTTCTGAGTTTATATTAATAAATATTTATGTGCAATTTTGTAGACTTGAGAATTTTGGAGTAATCTTTGTGTGAATATTTGTAAGCTAAAGAGTATCAGGTAACTCTGAAAATTCTTTCTTGTACATGTGAATTGTGTATGATCATATTGTGGATTTACTAATTTTTATATCATACTGAAAAGTAGTATTATGATTTCAAATAAATGTTTTGATATGTTAGTTGATTTTGTTAAGATTTATTGCTATTAATTATGATCAATGTTTAAATATATTGATGGCTAAGGAATTGTCATGAGTTGCTATTAAATGGTATATAAGTTTTATTGCTATTTTATCTTTAAAATATTTGAGGACGTATTTATGATGTAACATTATTGGCATTTGACATGCATTGTTGGGTTAAGGATAGAAGGAGATTGCATGGATATAAAATTACCACGTGGTATGCCATCACTCAGTGCACAGTGGATGGCACTTGTCAGGGCCCCTTCTTCCATGTTTTCCTTTGGCCGGGAATTCATTGGAGCTGTGGGACATGTGACACCTCCCTATTCACAAAGGAGGGGAGCCATAGTCCGAGCTTGAGCTCTATATCTTTGGCCGGATATATCTCTTGTATCGGTGAGCTTGGAATAATTCAGTAAAATAGATTAGTTCCTATCGGACTATATATTAGCCTATGGCTCCAGTCAGCGGTATAAGGGTGGACGGTGATATAAGGGAGGCAGCATATTGCATTATTTTTGGATATATTAGAAAAATGATATTGATATATTGTTGGAAAAAAACATGAAATTGAATTGAATGTATCAAATCCGTGATTTTTAATATATTTATATACACACATATAAACGGATTTTTGGTTTATCATATATTGTTTGCTTGTATATGTTAGAATTTCAGTAGTTACTGAGACGTTTGATCTCACCCTCTATATTTACAATTTTCAGGCGAAAGATTTAGTATGAATCAAGGGAAGGCACCAATAGAATGAGCCGTGAAGGCTTTTGTACTCCTCAACACATGTTATATTATATTTTTATTTGCCATGACTATAAGACTTTAATAATTTATGTTAAGTTATGTTAGAAATGTTTTGAAATTTTGACTTGTTTACAATATTAAAAATATGTATGGACTTTTAAATTAAATATTTTATTGCGTATATTGATATAATTATGTGAGGTGTTACATACACAATACTTTCAATAAAAGTAGGCGGTTTTACATACACTTTGCTCTCCACTTGGGTCAAGTCTCCTTATTCTTGTGCTCCCTGAGTGATGATGCCTCTGTCATTAAAGCACTCAATTAAACTATATCCCAATTAATTTGTAGTTCATGATTGACCTAGGTCATTACTTTCAAGGAGCAATTTATGGGTTTCTTTAGGTAAAAATTCAGGTGATAAAAAAAATGCAATAAATTAGACCTAAACTAAAATGTAAAATTCTAATTCTAATTCTAAATGTAAAATGCAAATATCCTAAAATCTATATGAAAATTAAATCAAACTAAATAAATGCAATGCAATTTTTGGGGGCTTTTTTGAAGAAAAATAAAAATAATGAATAAAGAAAATTAATCAGAAAGCAAAGAGAATTAGCAAGTAAAAATTCAGAGATTTCTCTTCAGGTACGGTAGAGGGGACAACTCACGATTCGTATGAATTTAACTTTCATAACCTTAATCAGTTAATTAGACCAAAGGGAGGTGATAAGAGAGTGGAATTAATAAACTTAATTACCTACTTGAAACAAAGGGAACCCTCAACTTCAAAAACCCTTAAACCATTAGAGAATCATAACAGTATAAGGTTGGTTAATTAAGTCTATTAAAACCAATGAAGATAATTCAATTTAATTTTAGAAATTATGTTTGAAATTATCCAATTAAACAATTAGATAATCAACCAACTTAATTAAACAATTAAGAGGTGAAAGAATCCAAATTTTGCAATTCAAACCACATTGATAATTAAACTCATAATGAAAACTCAATTATAAATTCAATTAACAATGCAAAGGTTCCAAACATATATTTTCCAACAAGTATCTTGGCACAAATAAAATCCAAATATCAATTTAATCCAAGAATAAAATTGACAATCTAGAACTAAATTGTCTCAACAAAATTACAACTTGAACTCATTTAAAACTAAACAATTTCAAGTCCTTGAATTAAAAAGATAAATAGAATATCACTCCCTTGTGGTCTTCAAGTGCTAGTCCAAGGCTCTAGTCTCCTTCATGCTCCTCCCAAGTTGCCTCTCAAATAAGCTTACGCTGCCATCATAATCATCTTCCCTCCAAGCGCCCTAAAACTCACGGTCATGATGACTTGTGAATGATGAAGTGTGGCGTAAGTGAATGTGTGTCCAAGGAAGGGAATTAAGGGAATTATTTGAATGGGTGATGACGATTAATGGCTTCTTATACGTGGAGTAAGATAGGAGAGGATGTGAATTGATGACTAAAGCGTGATGTCTAGCCGTTGAATGGAGAAGGAGAAAAGTCTCCTTCGGCGTTCAATTGTGCGTGAATGAATGGAGATGGAAGTGGTGTCCTCTTGGGCGTGAATCTTCCTCTCAAAATAAGGAAAATAGTTTAATGAGGAAAAAAGAAATTTTTACGGATCCAAAGCTCAACCCCATTAGTAATTAATTGACCCACTAGATATTAGTTATTGGATTGTGCTTAAATTCCAAGAAACAATCTTGCACCATTGGATTTCCCATATACTCTTTCTTGACCTACAAGAATTTAAGTGCATCCATTAATGTAGATTATATCTAAATATAATCAAAAATAAAATATTAAATCTGCACAAAAATTAGGTAAGAAATTGCAGAACTTTCTAAAAGTAATCTTTCTAAAAATATGAGACTTATTTCCAAAGAAATAGAAAAATTAATTCCAAATCAATAATAGGAAATCACAAAATATTTATATTTTTAATCTAAAATCTCAATTTTTA